CATCCCAAAACCAGTCCAGCTCGTCCCTGCCTCCCTAACCTGTTCTTCCTCCCACCTATCCCCTCCTCCCACCTCAAGCCGCACCTCCATCTCCTACTGACCAACCTCATCCCGCCCCCTTGACCTGTCCGTCCTCCCTGGACTGACCTATCCCCTTCCTAACTCCCTACCTACACTCACCTTTCCTGGCTCCATCCCCGCCTCTTCGACCTGTTTGTTTCCTCTCCACCTATCCTCTCCTCTATCCCTCTTCTATCCGCCTCCCACTCTCTCCCTATTTATTTCAAAACCCCCTTCCCCTCCCCCTTTTCTGATGAAGGGTCTAGGCCCGAAACGTCAGCCTCTCTGCTCCTATGATGCTGCTTGGCCTGCTGTGTTCATCCAGCCCTGCACCTTGTTGTCTTAATGATGGTTTGGTTTGGAGTTTAATATTAATTTCGCAGTGAGCCATGGTACAATTCCCATTCATTTGCAAGTAATGAAATAGGAGTGAAGAGGAGGCTTATTCTCTGCTTGGCTGCAATGGACAAATAGTGAATTAGCTGCTGGCTTCACAACTTCAGCGTTTGTTTATATTATACTTACATTGTGCTGAAACACACTCCTCGATTGATATAGTTAAACATGGTTCCTTGTGGTGTTCCTCACTTGTATTACCAGCATAGGAATAGTGTGATTAAATTTGCAGAGCTATACAGTATCAGTAGGTGAATATCTGCACCATCCCTCTCAATATAAAATCATGCACAACTTATACAGTGTTTTAATGTGGTAACGCATTGCACAGTGCTTCCCAGAAATGTTATTAGATACAATTTGGCATTGAGCCATGAAAGAAGATTTTAGGACAGATTTAATCAAAGAAATAGCTTTTAAGGGACATTTTACAAGGGTGCTGGGTGAAGGGGACTTGGTCTGCACTTGGATATCAATCATGCAGCACTCCTTCATTATTACACTGGAATGTTATCACAGGTTTTGTTCTGAAGTAGACATAAACCAATAGACTCAGAAATAAAATTGCTACTCACTAACGTTTTGGTTTGATTTGATTTATTATTGTCACATGTACTGGGATTCAGTGAAAAGTACTGCTTTGCATGCTAACCAGACAAATCATTACTTACATAAGGACATCAGGGTAATAGAACAGAATGCAGAACGTGTGTTACAGCTCAAAGAATGTGCAGAGATAGATCAAGTCTAATAAATTAGAGGTCCATTCATGAGTCTGGTAACAGCGGGGAAGAAGCTGTTCTTAAACCTGTTTGTGTTTTCAAACTTTTGTATCTTCTGCCTGAAGAGGGTGAAAGAGAGCATAACTGGGGTAGGATGGGTCTTTGATTATGTTGACTGTTCTCCCAAGACAGCAGCAAGTGTAGACATAATCAATGGAAGGAAGGTTTTCGTGCTGCATTGAGCTGCGTTCACAACTCTGTAATTTCTTGCGGTATTTGTATGTATGTGAAATCAGTCACCTTTAAACAACTTGAGAGGGAAATCTTTATGACACACACACTGCTACAAATTCTTGTATTGTGAAAAATAGATGCCTTTGTTGAGAGAAGTTAATGAGTGGAACAGTTATAGTGATAGGAGCATTGTGTTTTAAAAGAAAGAAAGATGTCATACATTGTTGTATGTAAAGATTGAGGAACTAATTAGCTTATCAGTTGTATGTGTAAGTGTTCCACTGTCCACATTTCATGGCATCCCTGCAGATTCAGCCTTCTGTGAAACACAGCGCAGGACTAAGGTACTCTCTTAGCAAGGCAGCATAGCAAGTTAGAATATAAGCAAATAACTCATCTTTCCAAGCTTAAAGTGTAAGTATTTCTAACATTTGGGAACCAGAAGACAACCAGACAACATCCTCACATTTTGCGTATCTAATTGATATAGAGTAATGGAGTATTTTTACCCTGGCAGATATTCTGAGGCTACAGACATTTTCCTTATCCACCCTGAGGTCGTCTGGTAATTGAACACCCCGGGCTCAAAACTGGGTATGTGTATTGAGATAAAAGTTGTTTACTACACAAAAAAAACAGAGGGAAGATTAAACCTCAGGAAAATACCAGACACTGCTGCCCATGATACAGTAACCTAATATTGGGTCCAAGCTTTTTGCAAAGTGTGAGACAACTTGGCCAAAATACACAAGGCAATGAAGCCAATGTAATGTCAACATTTCTGACCATGTTATTTTAGTGATCAGGTTCCTGTAGGAACAGAACCAGACAGCTTAATGCACAGCAAAATCATCATAACCATAAATCTTATAGCACGGCATAATTTTATTAATTAAAATAACATACCTAATACATGGACTTGCTCTGTCCTCTTGTTTGATTCAAATACAACATTCCCTCAAGGAACCAGAACCCCAGCCAAGCTCGCAACTCCTTTGCCTCAGACTTTGTAAAAGCGTTTGAGTCATGTTTGTATTGTCAACATTAGGAGCAAAATTACCTTTTAAATAAGTTTCAGAAGACAAATAGGTTCAGATGGATCCACTGCCACATATGATGGTACTATTTTTCTCCACTGTCTGATGCTGTATTAATATTTTACAAAATTCAAGACATTCTTTTAAAATTTGCTTTACACCTTTTAGCTTTTTTATCTCCAGCCTGTATAGGTGCTAATTTAAAAACAGCGGTTTTCTCACAACTGCATTGACATTAAGCCACTCACCCATTAAACATGGAGGCATATTTCTACAATGACCCACGGTTTGGAAATGCAACTTTTGCAGGGGTATGATGTTACAAAGGTCTCCTTTACTGAAAGCCAGCTATTTAAATCCAAGAGGTCCTGCAACTGAGAGTGACATTTTAAATTTAGTTAGCATACATTCACAATTTATAGCGATCATTTCATAATTCCCTAATTCTGTGTACAGAGCACATTAAGGATAGAATGCTATCCTAGTAAATTGCTAGATAAATTTCAAATTAATTGCAAAGATATTAATGATTATAATAAAAATATACAAGTAATAATTATAGAAATAATATACAATTATATATTATGTGACTTTGAGAAAGTTCCAGTAACACAGCAATTGTTACATATATAGCACATCAACAGGGGGATAATGAATTAACTTTTTCAGTTGGTCTACTAATACCTCCCTGCAATCTTGATAATTTAAAATAAATTTGAGATGAGAAATTTAATTGTCAGATTATTAAATTCTA